AGGTCGCATCTGGTTTATATTAATATTGATACGAGGCGTCAGACTGTGGTTCATACTTTTATTGTATATTTGACAGTCTCAATCTAGTCCAATTAATATTTTCAATATTTTAATTATAATGCTTTATGCAGATTTAAAGGCTTACAGAAAAGCAACTCATGTAATTTTTTTAATTAGTGAAAGCACTTGTAGCTTGGCGTGAACCGATCAAGTCAGGCTTAGTCATGGCGGCTGGCCTAAGTCTTCTTATTAGCCTAGCCTGTCTCTCTCTTATCTCGGTGCTGGCCTATGTTTGTTTGGCCCTTCTATGCTGCACTTCCGGTTTTCGTCTTTACACCGAATTCCTGGGCCGAGGTGGTTCTTCATCCAACAAAAACCAATCTGGTGGCTCTGGTGACGTGGCTCCTATAACTTCAACTTCGGATTCGTCACGAAATCACCCATTCCAGTTCGTTTACTCTATTTTTAATTATATTTATTTTCACTATTAAGATGAGCCAAAGCTTTTTTTGTTTTTTTTATAATAAATGCTATGCATTTATGATCGATATCTCGAGCGACTCTGCTCACCAGCCTGTCTTAATTCATTTTAAGTATGAATGCAGAGCGTCAGCAACACGAAACTATTAAATAAACGTTCGTGTGTATTTAACGGTTTATCTCATTTGTCCTAATCAGGTTAGTATTATCAATCAAGGCATTTATTTACTAATGCATCATTTAACAAGTAGATTGAATAAAAATACGTCCTTTTTGCATCGACCTATTGATATTAGTCTTCCTCAGACTGAACTCTTTGATGAAATTGCACATAAGGGAAAAAGTGTTATTCTAGAGGCACTATTAAATTTAAGCATTCCTTATATTGAAGGGACACATCTCATTTGAATGAACCATATACTTTAATAATGTTTTTTTCCGAGTGGCGCCTTTTGGCCTCGTCTCTTTTCTCATTCATTTTTTGTTTCTTTCTTACTCTAGAACACCTCGATTATTATTTCATTAAAAGAGCATTTCCTCTATTACATACTTTTTTGCGCACTATTAGCTAAATCTTATCTGATAACTTTTTTTTCCATAATTTGGAGAGAAGACTTGTTTTATTCGTATCATTTTATTTTTGCTTCCACTCCGAGTAAATATGCTAATTCACTGTGGCTGGTTCATTAACTTATTAAACTTACGTTACAAAATCATAATATTCGCTTACATTTATGTTCGATAAATGAAAAAAATATCTAATTCATCCTAAATTGTATTGATTAATCACATAAATATTTTAGTCCAAACCTGGTTTATTGTGAAAAACGCAACTTGTCTTCTGATAGATGTTTTATTCGCAGTTCACTTATCACATCGATGAATACTCAGCACTGCGGAAGCATAGCCTTCGGTGTTTCTGCCAATACGAGCCTCGTCTGAGCATATTACTTTAGCAACAAACAGGTTTTTTCTCTGGCTTTTTCTCCAGATTACTCATTGGTAGTTATGGTAAACTAACTAATGAGACAACTCTGTCTCATTATCTGTTCCTGAATTTTTGTCAATGTGTTATTAAATTAGGACCCTTTCCTACTACATCCGTTCTTATCGGTTAGTATATTGTTGGCTTAGTTGTTTATTATTTTTGTTGTTTTTTCGTTTAGTTATAATTATCTCTTTGAAATACTTCTCAAATTCTGGCTCCTTAAGGTGGCTTGTCTGGTTCTCTTTCTGTTATCCATTCATTTTTTGGCCAATTTAAACTGCTTTTATTAGGTTTGCTCTTCTACTCTCCGAGGAAGTGTATTTTACCACTGTAACATCTTTTAACGCTTCAATACATTACTCCTATAGGATATATGGGTTAAATTCGGGCATATTTCTACCTTTAAAAAAATTCCATATTCAAATTATCACGCATTTATAGTGCATAATCCTGTAGGTGTCTTTTCGTGGTCTCCTTGCATGCAAAACTTTCTGAGTTCTTCATCACTTTATATTTTAACTATTATTCTGAACGGACAATCTATTTTGTAAATTTTTCCTCTTTTCCTGCGCCAATGCTATTCGACATTTATTTCCACTCAAACTAACTTACCTTATCTCCTCCATCTAGCTTCCTTGATGCTCATTACTCCGTAAATTCATCATTGTATACTTTTTACTGTGGTTAATTAAGAGGTTGTTCGGTAAACTCTTTACCTTTCCTAGATATTAAATGGATATTGTTTCATCTCTTTTATCAGATTACCTGGTCCTAATTTCCTTGCTAACCGTGTATTCTCAGGTTTTTTATCATTTTTGGTCACTACTTACTGACATAAATATTTTATCTGAGTATATTTAAGTTTTAACTTTTTGTGAGTTTTTATCGCTTCTGGACCTAAAATTTGCATGTTTTATTAAGCATTTTAGTGGACCAGGTAACCCTTATGCATCCCTTCTTAACGTACTCTAAATATTACTTTTCGTTTCATGTATAATCAAGTGCTAGTGAATTGCCCTATTTTCTATTTTGAATTAACTGGCTCTAGAAAATGGCTTTCTTGTGATCTAACCTTGCCGCGCGAGGAAATTGGTCAATCCCTATCCGATGCGCTTCAGCATGTCCAGCCATATTTGAACTACGTCCGAAGAGTCCTCATGGTTGAGAGCTACTTTGAAACGGCGAAAGTAGGTTGATATTTTATTTGCTTTTTTGTTACCGAGTCATTCTAATTAACAAATTTTGTCTTTGTTTACTCCAGGTGTGTCTTTTGATGTATTTGCTGACCATTGTCGGAAATTGGTTTAACTTACTAACTCTCCTTACAATAGGTTAGTTTTATACTACTCATTCTCTTATAGCTATTTCCTTATATATATATATATATATAATTTACCGAATCTCTCTTCCTTTTCCAAATCCTACCACCTTCGCCTTTGGTCAATTTTGGTAGCTAATTTTCTGTATTTTATCTATTAAATATCAACTACTATTTA